TTAATTTTATAATCTTTTTGATATTTTTGGACACAACTTAATACAAATTATTTGTCTTTTAAAAATTATATTTGTCGTCTGCCTTTTTTTAAAAAATATATATATATATATTCAAATTTCTAAATATTCCATTTTTAAAAGATCTAAAAAAGTATTTATCTTTTAAAAATTATATTTATCGTCTGCTATTTTTTAAAAAAAATAATATATATATTCAAATTTCTAAATATTCCATTTTTAAAAGATCTAAAAAAGTATTTGTCTTTTAAAAATTATATTTATCGTCTGCTATTAAAAAAAATATATATATATTCAAATTTCTAAATATTCCATTTTTAAAAGATCTAAAAAAGTATTTGTCCTTTAAAAATTATATTTATCGTCTGCTATTTTTTTAAAAAAAATATATATTCAAATTTCTAAATCTTCCATTTTTAAAAGATCTAAAAAGTATTTATCTTTTAAAAAAGTTATCTTATCGTCTGCCTTTTTCTTAAAAAATATATACATTCAAATTTCTAAATATTCCATTTTTAAAAGATCTAAGTAAGTGGTTCCTTTCTTTTTCAAAAATAACATTTTATATAATATTACAAAATGAAGAATAAAAAACGCGAACAAGTCTTGACGTTTTTTTTTCAAAATGGTTGCTAAAACGCCAAACGATAATTTTACCAATTTGCGCGACACCATTTTGGAATGCATTTATTAGTTCCAGTTAAAAGGAAGCGTTTAAAAGGTTCAATTTGTGAGGCACTATTAAATATATAATTATTTTAATTTAAAAAAATTATATCGAACGAGAAATTTAAAAAGATTGAAATTTTTTTTTAAACTTTTTAAAAATGAGTATCATTAAATTTTTTTATTTTATAGTGAGTGGATGATAAATAAACTTTTAACCTGATGATCACGACATTGTGTAGGATAAGAGGAGTAAAAAGTAATAAAAATTATAAAGGAAAATGTTAATAATATATCTTATACATTTTATCTATCAATATATATAACAAATGAATTTGAGAAAATAAGATGTTATATTGTAAAAATAATAAAATGAATGGCTGAGAACAATACTTCAACTTTCTTACAAATATTCTAGTCGAATTGAATCCAAAACACACACAAAAACGGCTAAATCAATTATTGTAGCCAAAAAAAATAAGTATTACATAATAGGGCAGTTCTTAATGACATATAATACCTGGACTAAAAATGCATTCATTAAAAGTGTACGTCAACGAAAAACAGCTGGGGACGCCATTTTGTTAACCATATCATTATTTTAAAAAAAATTTTAAACGAGAGGCCTATCTATTCCGATGTTCTGACGCAAACTTTATTAAAGAATTGCCCTGATCATCGAGGTAATTAAGGAAGCGAGTTACCAATTTAATTAGTAGTTTGTAACATGAAAATAATTACTATACGGGTTTACCAAAATGGAAGGCTCACAGCTGATTTGCATTCAACGAACGCTTTCAAAAGCATTATTATGAATGCGTCGTCAGTCTAGCTATTATTATATGTCATTGGAAATACTGAAGATTTTGCTCACAGATGGCCAAAAGGTTAGAGATCCGCAAAAGTAGGTCGGCCCGTACCTGGCCCGATAATATATTTTTAAGAAAATTCGGGTCGGGCCGGGCCGGGTTTAAAATTTTTTTTTTAAATATACCTAAATTTATCGCTTTTATCTTGAATTTTTTATGTAAATATAAAATATGCGATTTTATTTATAGAAAGTAGACGCCATTATAACATATATCGTTTATTTTGCGTAATTATAAGAATTAATTTCTATATTTAAATAAATTCGGAAAACTTTATAATAAAAATTTCGAGATCACTAGTTTGGACATCTATTAAAGAAAATCCATTTTGGCTAATATCTTAATTCAAAATCGAGAAAAATCGAGCCCTTTAACAATGCTACTAATGAGCAACCATTTTTTTCATTTATATCACCCTAATTTTAACTTCTCCCAATGAGGTTGATTCTCAGAAGAAAAAATTATCGGCTCAATAACTCATTTACTAAAAAAAAACATCCTTGACCATCCCGGGTTAAATAAGCATCCGCTTCATTTCCCCAAAAATCATTTATAAATATCACGTGGCCCAAGAATCAGGTGATATCAGCGGAAATTGTCATATATTTAAATGGCGTTACCCCGAAGTCCTCGTGCTCTGAACATTAGTTCCCACAAGTTGACTAGCTTCAAGAAGCATTCCCTATATTTTTTATTTCAAAATGAGTAATGGTTTGAGCAAAAACCCGGATATACTTTCTTTACCCCTAGAGGCAAAGCTTACCCCCACTCCCTTCCTTCATCTAAGTGTAGACAACAGTTACTTTTGAAAAGTTAATAGTTATATTGCAAGTTACTTATCAGATACTTTTTATTATGACATAAAAAAAATTTATAATGAAAAGGAATTTAAAATGGAAATTCTATTTAATTAATCTAAGTGTAGACAACAGTTACTTTTGAAAAGTTAATAGTTACATTGTAAGTTACTTATCAGATACTTTTTATTATTACATAAAAAAAAATTTTATAATCAAAAGGAATTTAAAATGGAAATTCTATTTTAATTATAGTAGAAATATTGAAAAAAATAGGCCGCATAAATTATTTGTAATGAAAACAAATAATATATATAAATAAAATAATACAATAATTATTTTTTGACTTTTAAACAAAATAAATTATTTCCAAAATTTATGCCTTAGAGGTGTGTTAGTTTTATTTTCTACCGAAAATGTACTTCTCTAAAACACAGTTCTACAGATGCGCTTTATATGTAAGTGAGAACTTTATATTCAATATAAAAAAAACTGTCATAGAATATTCGGGAAAATCCTCAAATAAATATAAATGAATGATACTTATATCAGAAACCCGCAGATACCGTTTACATGGCCCGGACCCGATTTTAGAAAAACTAGAGGCCCGGCCCGGATATTTAAAAATTTAGGTGCCGAGCCGGGTTTAGGGCCGGGTAACTTGGAAAATAATTAGTTACTTTTGTGGTTATAATCCTCCCCCCAAATATAAAAGAGTTTTACAGTTACTTTCTCTCCGCAAAAATGTAACTTTTTAACTTTGTTACTTAAAACAAACGTTACTTCTTTCCTATATATAAATGTAAAGAAAAGATACGAATGAAAGAAAGAAATGAGAAAGAAATAAACAAATAAATCTAACTTAATCATCAAACCGAAAAACATATGGGGAACCTAGAAATAAAAAAAAAACAATTAAAAAAAATTTTTTTTTTAAAAGATAAATAAAACTCAAACCGACAAAAATTTAAAATAAAAATAATTTATTTTATTTTTTGATATGTTAATTTAAAAATATTATTTTTTTTTGTTACATAATAAAAAAAAATAAAAAAAATTAAAAATAAAAATATTCAATGATTTAAAGGTAATAAAAAAAATATCAGAAAGGTGTCGTCTTACGATTTTATGTTACCTGATTTATGTCAATCTCCTCGTAACTATAGGATAAGGGACTTTGTCGCCAAATCGCAAAAAAAATTGTCGCAATTTTATTTGAATATTTTTAAAGGATTTCTTAATCTTATAATTGGATTTATGGATTTAATAAATGAGGACACCTTTTAATTATGAGATAATTTAAAAAATGTATATATATATATACGCATAATTTATAAAAAATATGACAACTGTGACGTGAAAATAGAGCAATCCTATAAGTGGTTATTTTTTAAAATATTCCTCTCTAAAATAATCCCTCCCACAACTTTCCTCTACGACTTCCATATTTCTCAGAAACCGGCGGGGGTACCATTTTCCCCGGTTTTTATATTTTAAGCCCGACCCGGATATTAAAAAAAATAATTTTCAGCCCAGGCCCGGATTTTAAAATATAGCTGCTCGGATATTTAAAAAAAATTAAAATATGGCGCGGCCCGAATTTTAAATTTTTTTTGCCCGACCAATCAGATGCGAGAATTTTTTTTATATTTTGATAAGTGTCGTCTGATCCTAAAAATTTATTTTAGAAATCTAGGGGGTAAAAAAATATGAAAAAATGTGCTAACTTCTGATTATTTTTTTAAAATTGGAAGATATAATAAAGTTCAAATATAGATTTGTAATTTTTCTAAATTATTTTATTCATGGCTTACCTTTAGGTCATGCCTACTTGTGCGAATAAAATTTAAAAAAAAAATGGAATGATGTAAAGATGAAGATTGACAGATAAAAACACTTTGACGTTTTCTTTCTTTCTTTCTTCTTCATTTTCTATAATTTAAATTTATTATTTTTTAAAAGAAAAAAAACCAAAAAAAAAATCCCACGATTTTTTTATGTTTTGAAACAAGTCCCCTTAAGAAAGAATAAAATATTTTTCAATATATTTACAAGAACAAACAATATAAAAAAATGCATAAATTAAAAAGATAAAATTTATTGTTTTTAAATTTCCCCCTTTTTTTTGAGTGGATGGGGGTGGGGGGGGATGGTGAATTATTTTTGTCATATATATATATTTTTTAAATGTTATATGCATTGCAATAACTTTCCCGAGGAGTAGGAGGGTGTTTTACGAGCTCAATTCATCCCCCCCTTTGAGCATTTATTGAGCCCATGAAATTTCCGGTGATGCCACTGGGTACAATATAGGTAGAATTATAATATAAACCAAAATCAATTAAAGGGATGATTAATAAGTTAGGTAATGATTCTGGTTTTCTATTTTGATTTTAATAATATTACATATTTATATATAATTTTATTAATTGAATAAATATTTAAGTTTTTTCTTAACAACTATATAAATGAGACTAATAAGAGCTAATTATAAATACTATTTCAAATAATTTTACAAAATTTTTTGATTAGTAACTATAAACCTTAAGGAAATTTTATAAATAAAATGTAAAATACATAATTAACTCTATTAATTATGTCATCATTAAATAATAAATTTGTTTAATGTTTTAAAAAAAATTTGAATTACCTTATGTGAATCATATGTAATAATTTGTATAACCGAATATATCGAAAGTGAATCTCGAAAAATCATAAATATAAGAAATTACCTAGATGCCTAGTTAGGAAATAGCAATAATAAAAATCATACAACTTTATTTATATAACTACAAAAATGTGATTGATAAATGATCTCTCATATAAATCTAAACAATTTGGATAATATATTTAGCGATTCAAGAGTAAAAATAGTAAGTATGCGATATATTATAATATATTTTTAATTTGCTTTGTTTATTAAAATTCCTATCATAATTATAATATTAAAATACTATATAATTAAAAATACAATATCATAATTGCTTGCGTTTCCAAAAAGATGTCATAATTATATCTAAAATTTTCTATCTAAATTTTTTGACGTATTATATAGATTTGTTAAAAAATGGCAAAAAAATTGCTGTTTGTAAAAGTCATTTGTAATAAATTGGAAGTTCTTAAAATTTTCTTATTTGTTGATATTTCTTTGTTTCATGTTATTAGTAGATTGATATTTATGTCAGAAGGAAATGAAGTGACACATGTGTAGTCCCATATTACTGATTTTCCAAGGGTCCAATACATGGTTGTCATACCATCAGGACTTAAGCCATCTATTTGAGATAAATTTGTGGACATAAAATGTTTTGGAAGGTGGGCGGCTGTTAAACCTTACTTTATTACATGACTTATTGCTTTGTGGCGCTACTGTCGCCCTTGACTATAAATTTGATACATGGATGTAGCTGTAAAATGTCACAAAAAAACTAAGAGGATACCAATATTAATATTAGAGTGTGTAATCATTTATGACTACCAAGTCTGTCAGATAAATTAAATAATTGGATTATTAATTAATTTTTTTATTTATCTTCATAAAAGCCAGTGAATAGCCATTGATCTATATATCTTTTAAGTAGAGGAAAGGTTCATAGGGAATAGAAAATAAAAAAACATTTTAAATGTAGCGGAAAAATTCCTCCATTTTTGAAGTTAGATAAAAAAAAAATAGAAAACCCTGATTTCATCTTACAAGCAAAGTTTTCTGATTAGTCAAAAATGACTGAAAAAGTATTTTTAATTTTTATAGATTACGATTAGGGAAAACATATGGTTTGGTCAATTCACTGATTTTAAATGTTTATCCAATATTTTTTATTTAAATAAAATAAGAATCCAGAAAACTATCAAAATATTTGATACATATGATAAAGTATTTTAGGATTATCTACTAACCCGAATAATTTGGAAAAATTTCATCAAGTGATACTAAATATCATCTCTGGGAAAAATTTTGCTATCTTCTACAAGTTTTTAGCATGTACTATGGTCCAGTGTATCTATAAATAAACCTGTCGTGATGTTCCGAACGTAAAATAGGTATTTTCGACTATAAGTTTTATATTTATTCATTCAAATTACAATAAATGTTTTTCCTTTATCAGAAAACAAAAAATAAGAGTTAGATCAGCTTTAATTCGAGTTAGCAATCATTATCAGTATTTTCATTGCAAAAAATAATTAAAATGGTTCAAACATTAGTATCTACTACTCACATATAGATAAAGAAGATTCTAACGATCATGGATATGAAAAATAAATTCCCTGGATCTTTAAAAAAAACCTTATTACATCTAACCTTAAAAAAAATAAAATAAAGAACTAGGTTCGTCAATTTAAACATTTGGAATAGATAATAAGCAGCTTAGAATATGAAGTGAATGATATTTACGGAATATATATAGAGGAAAATAAATAATTTATATATAAATGACTGAATTAAGTAATATTCGAATAAATTATGTTTATATTTATACTTTTATTAAAATTTACTCGCCTTTTAAAGTATGAGAAACAATTTATCGGCGGCCTCTAAATTGTTACCTTCTGCTGCTCAGGGCCACTGACACCCCCCCCCCCCCCCAGTAAGAGAAATCTTTCACATCTGAACAGAAAACCGGATCTAAACCATTATAATCTCGGTCTTCGCTCACTTCAAACCAGGCTTTTAACAACTAGGAAAATATCTCTTGCAGTTATGATTTTTTAGACGTTCGTGATTTTCAAATCTTTATAAATGAAAGGAACGGGTCATATATGATTGATAAAGCTAGTGTTATTAAATTAGCTAATTTTGACCATCTCTATTGTGGCCTAATCGAGCTTTTTTAGCCTAAAAAATTGAATCAAGCTTCTAAGTTGTTAACTTGAAGATTGATTCGACTATTTTTGGATAAATATATGGATACGCGTTGTTTTATAGTTGACTAAAGTTAGTTAGTTTAATAACACTAGATATAGCTGACTTACAAATATGGAAGACCATTGAGGTATTAGGGGCTTAATTAAGCTTTGAAGATTTATTAAAGATTTTCAAACTTTGGACTATGTTCAAATATAATTTATAATTTTAAAAATTTCGCAATAATTATAAAAATTAAATTTCGAACTAATTTGATACCTTTTTTGAAATTAATAAAATAAAATATTGAATAAATGATTAAACAAGTGAATAAACTTCAACTTTATTATATTAAATAATCACATAAAATTAATCAATAAATACCATGATATATATTCTTTTAGATATTATAATAGCTCTGATTATTTATATTAGACACCAATCATAAACGTTGTGAAACATTTTGAGCCAAGGAGACGCCGAACCAGCATAGAGTGAATCAAATGCGCGAAGGGAAGGAGTTTTATCACCGATATCATTCTGACATTTGTCACGATCATTCTTGACATTCCCAATAGCCCGAGATATAGGGGAAGGTATGTAAGGCCATTGCCAGGAGAGGAAACATCTTTCAGGATGCGGCATAAGGGCAAAATGCCGACCATCTTGCGAACATATTCCAGCTGTTCCCTCTATCGAACCTTACATATTATATATTTTAATTTTTTTTGTAAAAAAAATTTAATTTTCGAACGGTTCGGTTTTCAAAAAATAAATTAAGAGAACCGGACAGAGTTTCAAAAAATTAAATTTAAGAGCGAGAAAGAGTTTAAAAAATTGATCTCGCGGGTCAGGTCGGATAGTGACCGCGAGTCTTTGTGTGATATTGAGATAAAAATTTGGGTATTCAACTCCGAAGTGACAACCTCCCCCCCCCCCATCATTGAAATTTATTCCAACTTTTTTTTCCCATTTATTAAGGTACAATCCCAATCTTTTATAAAATTTGTTTAATAATTAGTTTAGTTTACAATTACCATTTGGATTGTATGGATATTCCATAGTGGGTTTCGAAAAAATAGGGTCTATATAGGAGAGTGGAATCAGCTTTTGATCTTTGATTCCCTGATATAGAGTATCGTTTTTAAAGACCATTTTGCCTATAATTTAAATTTAAAAAAATTTATATATTAATAGATGTTAAACAAATATAAATGATTATAATAATAAAAAGAAATGGGAGGGGAAGAACAAGAAGTTGACAGATAAGGTGATCCGCTGAAAGTAGATGCCAGTCCTTCTAGAAGGAATAAACGAGGTTCCAATTAATGAATGGTAAATGAAGTGGAATATAAAAAAAGACAGAGTTTAATGGCGAGTCTTAGAGATTTCACCACTAATTAGGCAAATTCATTACAAAATTGAGACGAATTTTAATAAGCAGAATCAAGAACCTTCTCCGTGAGCTATCCAACATCCTAGCACGGATCCTTCCATACCTCGAGTAAAAATGCAAGGGGATTCATGGATTTCGAGCCGACAAAATCGGCTTTCAAACCGACCAGAGTCGTTTGGCTTGAGTTTAAGGCCCGGCATAGTATATTGGTCCCTTAAAATGGCTAAATCTTTGTTCAAAATTTTTTAATTTTATTTTAAAACTTTAAATCACAATATTATTTTGTATATTATTCGCTTAAAAAATTAGGTTTCTATCATCAAATGATTGATAAGAATACAGAGTGTGAAACAAATAAAACTTCAAAAAATAAAATAAAGTTATTATAAAACTAAAAATTGAAACTAATTTTTTTTTTTTGAAAAACGATATTTTAAAGCTTTAAATATAATTATAACAGTATAGTTTTTAATTGAATTATTAATTCAAAAAAACAAAAATAAATTACTTTTCTCGTGGACAGATTTTTGAACGGGTGCTACCCAGGAAAGTGCGGCCATGAGTTGACAACCGTTGCAAACACCGAACGAAAAAGTATTCGGGTGCCGATAAAAGGCTTGAAATTGAGAACGGATCGTTGGGTTTAGAAGAATAGTAGCAGCCCAACCTAAATTATCAGTTTATAAAAATGAACATTTTTTTTCCTTGAGGATATATTTAATCCTGATTAATAGGAGAGCGTAAAATCCCCTTTTAAAATTATACGACCAAAAAATTTCTTTCTTTTTATTCTAACAAGGTAAATACTGAAAGGTTTGAGATAAACTTTATTAATTTCGTAAAATTTTAATGGTAAGGCTATAAGTCAAATTTTTGAGCGCGTTTTACCGGAAATAAATTCCAGCATGTTTTAGAATACCCATCTTACAAATTGTAGATAATTTTATAGTAAAGTTTTGAGTCACTTTTATAATTTATATGAAAAATATATGGAAAAATTAGTATAAATTATATTTATATTTAAAAGTTAACGATATATCTGAAATTCATAGGGTAGGTATTACCAAACATGATGAAATAAGTTTCCGGAAATCCGATTTTTTATATTTAAAAAAAACGCGCTCATTAAGTTGGGAAAAAAAAACACATTGCAGTTAACATACATATATATATATTTTAAAGATAATCAATTAACATTTAATTTTAAGCTAAACGGTAAAAAAAATAAATTAATTTATCAGATATATTTTTAAACACAACCAACCAAATATTAATAGAAAAGCGAAAGATCCGTGGATCAGTGAAAATTCAAAAAAGGACCAAATAAAATCCTAATGATAGGATTGGTGCAATCTTTCATATATGCCAATAGAAAGAAAGAAAGGAAAGAAAGAAAGGGAGGAAATATGATTTGTTTTAGGTCATTATTAAAAAAAAACCTTTGGCGGATCCCAACACGTCCCCGTAACTAAAGCCGCCCGGAAAAACGACGCCCCTAAAAAGGGCCGGGTTTAATAGGGCGTGGTCTTTCGAATTTTTCGCGTCCTTTTTTTCGTTGGCGAAAAGGAAATCGGTAATGGTCAAGTCCCAAGCCTCGAAGCCGGCGCTGATAATGAGTGAGCTCAACTCTTTATCGCCATTGGTGCCTTCCTCCCTCAGGATAGCTACTCTAAAAACTAATGTTTGTTTATTTTACACAAGATATGAAATAAATGTGGAATAAAATAATTTCTGTAGAGCATTATAAATAAAATTTTGCTTTTTATCCCCCGTTATTTTAAAGTAAATCCATCGATAAAATAAAGGAAGGCATAAATTTTCAAACCCCTGATATCGTGGTACATCGGTAAATCGGTCACTTCACCTTTAAGTGCTACATTTTCGAGGCTTTCCAAAGTTTTCGAATACCTCCTATCCACTTCATTCATGTCGAACGATGTCAGGTAGAAGCCAATGTTTCCTCCAATATTGCCGTTCCCATTTTCAACGTCGTTAGCCTTGGCGTGAAATCGGCTCAAAAAGTGTAAACTCTCCATTACGCTTTCGTTGTCCGCGTACGTCGAACCATTCGGTATTTGCATTTTTTCTAAAGCGTGGCTTAGCGATTCCCACCTCCGTTTCAAGAGCAAAAGGGTTTCGGCGTAAACTTTAGTTTGACCCGAGTAAATGGACACCTATTTTTTTATAGAAGCGTTATTAATAGGAAACGATGATAAGTAAATGCAGAAACCTGCAGAGATACCATTTGCATGGCCCGGTCCGGATTTTCATACGCTGGGCCAGCAGGGCGTTCATCAAAAAAAAAGAATATATTCAGGTTAAAAATTTGTCTAAAATAAAAGTCACTAACATGTTCACCCTGAATGGGTCAGCTTACATTAATTAAAAATAAATTTTTATAACTATTAATTCTAAAAAAAAATAATAATTCCAAATCTCTAGTTAACTTAAGAGTCTGAGTCGCGAGTAGGCTCAAGATTCTAGCTCGCGAATCCTTGCTCAAGTTTGAGCCATATTTATGACTCTCAAGTTTGGAGTCGTAAAAAACTCCATTAAAGGTGTCACAGGGTCTATAATAAATAAGAGCGGCCATCTCACCACGTGATAATTTTATATTTTTAAACTGGCATTTGTTATCGTAAATATATTGCCTGGGGTCCTCCCAAGTCTCGGACGAGTTGTTCCTCTTTACTCCTTTCGTGGTATTTACAATTCACGACCTTCCGGAGAATTTGTTCGGATTTAATGGGATCAAAAGGCGACCCATTTTTAGGGGCAACACGTTCGTAGCAATGCCCAATCACGTGACATTTGAACGGCGCCATTTTTTCTATCACTGTTGTGACGTCGTTCTCGGATACCTAATTTATTTTTCCAACAAAAATGGGAGTGAATTTCGCTATGATGTCCGAAGTAGTGTTGTCAAAAAAGCCAGATTTCAGATTAAGATTTTAGCTAAAATGATATTGAGTAAAGAATCAAAATTTGGACAAATATATGTGCCCAAGCATTTCTGCCTGCTATGAGCAAAAATCTTCGAGGCTTAAAATAATGTTATTTTCGCTAAAATCTTAATACGGACCATTTTTTTTTAAATCGACCCGAATTGATTTTTTAAACAACACTACTCCGAAGTAGTGTCGTTAAACGGCTCGTTTTGAGCCGATTTTTAAAAAACGATCAACTCGATATTTTATCCAAAGAAATACTACGCAAGCCCGAAGATTTCGCTCACAGAAGGAACAAAGGTCTAGACAAATCTCGAGGCTTAGACAATATTTTTTTGGCTAAAATATTGAGTTAGCCGTTAACAATGCGCTATCAATAAAACTAAGACAAAGCATGAAAAAGGAATATCATCATTATGATTTTTTTTTATCAAACTTGAACAACGATTCCCAATTCTTCCGCGAAAAGAAACGCCAAAACACAATCTTTTAAAATAAATAAATATATACCGATTAAAGTTTACTTTAAGTTTTTGTTTTTGTCAATATTCGCCGGTCTAGAATTGGAATGATCCACTCGACATTTTCGAAATTTTTGAGTTAGAAAGTGGATAATAGCTTATTTATTACCGATAACAATGAAATAAAAACTAGATTTAAAAAAATATTAATTATTTAGCAATAGCTATATCAAAATGGAGCAATAGGGTAATCCTATATTCGATTTAAAACTTTAATGTTGATATTATCATTTTAATATTTGATCAAGTGGAGCATTCCAATTCTAGGCCGACAAATATATATTTTTATAAAATTATGAAAATTTTTTTTAAAATCCTTTTAATGAAGGGTATAAAAAAAAAAGAAAAACCCAGAAACTCGAACCCGTAACGAATACCGGATCGGATAAAAATAACGGTTGTAGTTCAATATCGTAAAAAAAATCATGATATCGGTTTGGTTATGGCGGGAATGATGAACCAATCAAAAATTATCATTCTTTATTTAGAGGATTTTTTAAGATTCGCATCAGAAAATGTTGGATGTTAAGATCAGTTTGGAATAGGAAATCGGTTCAAATTAGTTCAGTCAGGTTTCCGAGGTCTGCTCAAAATACAAATATTAAAAAATGTCAAAAAAAAATAATTGACGGAATCGATATTTATTTCACCTATTTTGCTAATTTGAAGAGGGCTCAAAGATTTGAAATGCTCTTCTACCACGTCAATCTTGATATCGGTGGGGTGCTGGGCAGCCCAAGCCATCTCCAAAATAGTTATTAATAATCCCCCATCGCTTACATCGTGACTAGATTTAACCACGGGTCTACCGTCTAAAATAAATGAATAAAACCTCAATGAATATAGTATGACATAAAAATGTATTTTCTTATAACTATAATACAAACCATTCTTGGAAGTTGACTAAAGGGTTTAATTTGTATTAATACTCCTACATAAAACCTCAATGAATATAGTATGACATAAAAATGTATATTCTTATAACTATAATACAAACCATTCTTGGAAGTTGACTAAAGGGTTTAATTTGTATTAATACTCCTACATAAAACCTCAATGAATATAGTATGACATAAAAATGTATATTCTTATAACTATAATATAAACCATTCTTGGAAGTTGACTAAAGGGTTTAATTTGTATTAATACTCCTACCCCCACCGCATAATTAATGACTTAGATATTGTAAAATTTCAGCCTGGCCCATAATGGACAGCTAAGGTTTTCTTTAATATATAAGGGCTAGCTTGAGCCAGATCTCTAATAAATATTTTGAACAAGTGAATTTACATTTTGTATCTACATCGAGGAGGCTTTGATATTTATCGAAAATGTCCCGAAATTGCTGAGGATCATCCATGTCCGGGCACTGGAAAAGCGGACAGGAATCTTTATAACAGGTAGAAAACGTTCCAGAAAAATCTAGGTCTCCCGCGCATTGGTTTGGTCCGCCATCATACCCAAAAATGGGGTTCAAAGCGTTAAAACATTGTAAAAAAGCGGAACCCCCAATCCTGCAACGAGCCTCATAGTTGGGCTGAGAAAATGGAATCCAAATCAGGGTGCTAGGGTGTGCGAGGTCTTTAAAAGAGATTTTATTTAAACATATTTTATTCACTAAAAAAAAATAAACGTTTTAAGGGATTATATATATATTATATAAAAAAAATATTCTTTTTTTTTTGTGAATTAAATATTATTTTTCTTATCTCTCGTCAATACTTCTGATTAAATATCCTCTTATTCTGTTAATATTGTGTTCAATCTTACCTTCGTTTTGGTACAGTATGTCTTCAGCGTCTTAGATGAACAATATTGCATTTTAATTTTAACCATGTTTTTTTTATGTTTATTTAGCTCTGTCCAAAATCTAATAAATATATAAATTTTTGAAAAAAAATAATAAATAACACAAGCTAATTTTTTTAAATGTAAAGCTAAAATAGTGTTCTCAATCATTTTCCTTTCTGTGGTATTGTTACATTTTTTTGTTTATTTTAATTTTCACAAAACTTTAAAAAAAAATAATAGAAGATTTAGGACACGTTTCATAATTTTTATTAATTTGAGAAAATTTATAAATTTTAAAGGGTTTGTTTTTCAAAACTTTTTGGACAGTCTTACGTATTCTTAGTGTGTAGAAAATTCGAAGAGTTTCTTGGTGATTTATTAACAATTTTCATTGAAATATTTTGCAAAAAATAAAATAATGAATTTAAACTTCCTTCATCTAAGGGACAGCACTTAAGATCAGCCGTGAATTGTCTGGTTATGTCTGGGCATGTAGTGTAAGCTGAAATTACGACGGATCCTGGAGCTTTGACAACGGTCTCTAACCCTTTATCGTGTACTATATTCGATCATTTTATTTTCGTGAAGAAAAAATGAATAAAACTATCGCAATCTCCAATTGATTATAATTTTTCTATCAGAAGAGTTTGTAATCCTATTTTTAATTTATCTAATAATATTAATATGCCTTATTTTTTTTGTATCTTTTTGTAATTTTAAATTAGGATTAAGTTATAGGGTTCGCGGTTTTTTAGATATCGAAATAATCACCTCGGGCTGCCATAGTTAGGCTGTCCTTGCCCCCGTCAAACCCAATGCCAACATTGGCCGCAGCTGAACAAAGCGATTCGCAAGCCAAGTAGAGGGCCGCACCCTCTCCATCATTTCCTCGTCGGTCGCTTCCGTCTTTGGAATCGATCCCGTTTGCGAGGCCCTTCAATTTTTTGGCGGTTCCGGTGTCAGTTTCTGTTTTTGTGTATTCTATTCCTCCTCCAACAGAGCTCCCATTCTTGGCTGGCCACATCCAATTAGCGCTGGCTTTAATGTCCCTTCTATCGGGTATCTTAATGCAAGAGGCCATGTTTGTCATGGCTTCCCCGAGGGCCATACGAGCGTTTTTAAAAGGCTGCTCGCCAATCGCCGTTACGGCACCGCGCCAAACACTGCGATCAAATATTTTTTTTAAAAAATTAAGAACTTAAAACTAATTTCTCGTATCCAAAATAATTCAAGTCGAAAAAAAATGTATTACGCAAACAAAAAATAACACTTACAAATTAAGGTCCAGGGTAGAGTGGCCAACATCAGGAGTAGGTAGCATCGAACCGATTAGACTAGTATGCGGATAAGGGAAATGCGAGAGGGAAATTATGGCGGCGTCAGCTAAGGGAAGCTGAGAAGGGCCAACACATTGTTGACGGGCTACGAGACCGCTTACAGATCTATCAACCTTAAAGAACAGATTAAAACGTTAAAAATTTAAGGAATCATTATTATAGTTTAGTTATTACCTTATTCGTCAGAAACTGTTTAGAGCCGACACTGACTAACCTAAGGACCCTATCCAAGGCTAGGTCTATACAAAGCTGACTATCATCGTTAGAGCACCGCTCGTCACCATTTTGACACTGCGACTTCGAATCCGAAATCAACGTCGAAAGTGATCCGGTTTTCACTAGCGTGAATAGGGCAGTGGGGAAAGATGAATGGAAAATCTTTTAAATATTTTTTTTTTTGACGAAATATAAAAATTCCTTAATTATCTCATTTATTCTCAGAACTTTTTACTTTATCAAACTTTAACAGAGTCGAGTAAACCGTTTTATAATATTTTTTTTACTTTTCAAATAGATAATTATTTCCTTATTCCCAGTTTTTAAGGTTAAATTTCTATTTCCTTTGTAGTGGAGTTATTATTTTATTTATATTTAAGTTATGTCCAATATATAAAAAAAATTAAATTCTCGAACTTTCCAAACTTTAATGAAAATAAATAAATAAGTAGGCTATTTTAAATATAAAAATAAAAACATGCCCAAAATTAACGTATGATTTTATCAAAATTTTGAAACTTTTCGAATTTTTTAAAACATTATTTAAAAAGAAAAGAAAATAATTTGATCTGATAAAAGAGATAAAATTTTATGAAATGACGTGTATCTTTTATTTGTAAAAATGTATATGAATTTTTATACAAAAAACGAACGATCTTTAATTTTCAGAATATCTCCTAAAATTATCAACTCATCGTTTAAAAACGTCAAAAATGTCGCGAAATTTTCAAGGCGGGAGATTCCCAATTGCGGGAGGAAGATCTATAAGTGCTGACTAAAAGGGTAGGGGAAGGCTGGTAACCCAGTCAAACCCCATACAATCTGACCCTTTAAAAAAGTGTCCACGAGGAAAGTCATAAAATTAAAATATAAAAAGAAATAACATTCTTTTTATAAGATAACTGGCCATAAAAAATTATTTGCCATCTGTTGTATAAGCATTATAAGGATATATCATTTTGGAATTTGGTTACGGTGTATAATAAGTATTTTTATTTAGTAGGTTATAAAATTAACCTTTTGCCTAGAGGATGAGGATATGAGATCGAGGGGGAGATCTATGCATTTCGTACTGTCAGAACCTCTCGCATCCCGGCGTATATCGTCCGTGAAGACCATGCTACCCGTTCCAGTCACGTGACCTACAACATCTAAGCCGCATTTTTCTCTGGCACAAATTTGACTCAGGTAAACTAAGCTTTGATCGTCTTTTTTTTAAAATAATTAATTTAGAAAATTTATTGGATTTTTTAATTGCGGAAATAGGGGAGGGGGAATAGCGTTATATAATACCATAAACGAGTGTTAAAAAGTAAAATACATTATTTTCCTTCTTTCCATTAACTCAGTATAAAACGATGGAAATGGGTTATTAAGAGGTGTGACATAGTATACACCTCAAATTACTAAAGTGAGAAGCGATACACCCACATAAGATATACCCTCTATATCATTTTGAAGCACTTTCCTCCTTGTTTACCTTGGTTTGCAGGGTTGGAGACAATGCAATAAATAATATCTACCTTGACTAGGTGCGGCGATAAGCGCTGCATTGCTCTCTTGATATTCGGCAGCCCAGATCTCCAGAGGACCCGATGAATCATCGCCCAAGGTGAAGGCGGAAGACTTAATCAGGGCACCCAGAGGTTCCACCAATTCCTTCAGCACGTTTCCTGAAGAATAATAGATAGGAATCATTATCTCAGGGTATATATAAGAACTATTTATTATTTACTTTAAAAAAAAAATGTAAAAGCTAAACCATTGCCACCTGCTCCCTGATCATGCAGGCTCAAGAGAGGATTGTAATTAGCTCCATTGATGGGATCGCTAGATTGAGAACAGGCCCTTATAACTCGATTCATCTTTTGTTGCATTTCTGGATCTCCCCTTTGAACGGCGTTGAAATCGGAATCGTTCAAATCGCCGCCAGAGAATGTATTGATTGATGGGTTATTGGTGGGGTAATCAGAATGATTGGCCGATTCGGATCGATCCTGATCGGAGGAATGGTTGGACAATTTCGGCTGGTTTTCGTGATTAGAGGTCTTAGAGGACGCCGAGCCACCGCCAAGGCCTATCTTGTAAACCGGACCTCCTAATTTGACCACTCTCATACCTATGTTTAGCGTAATTTTTTTTTGAAAAAAAAATACCTAATTTTAAATTTATTGGGCTCAAAAATGATGCTAGGGGGAGTGGGAAGCTACAAAAAAATGTTTATTTATTTTTAAAAAATAAAAAACCTATTTCCGGCGGCAATTTATGGATTTGAGGATCGGGTATGCTTCCAATACCAGCAGTGAACATGATAGGCTTAATCCATTCACGTCTCTCCACCTAATCAAATAATGAGAGTTACAAACAGGGTTTAAATTCAAGGTATAGTATTTAAAAAAAAAATCAAATATAGAAATATTAATTAAATAATAGCCTTAATATTATTATATATATTTTTTCATTACATATATCTTTAACTTTGAATTAAATTAATTTGTCTCTTAGTAAATCGCTCCATTATAATTTATGAATCTTTATAAATAACCCGTCTATTCTCAATTTACCTGTCTCAATTCTCAGTTTATTTTCATCGGACATATCATACTTAAATTTAAGAATCTGGCATATTACAACCTTATCCTAATAATAAATTTTATATGTAGACTTTAAAAAATCTATTTTATAGTATATTTATTTAAAATATTTAAATCATTCTTATAAATATCGAGCTAACATCTTTGATCATTATAAGATGATAAATCTGATAAATATAGCTATCTTAAATGCCTTAATAAAAATATTTATATCTAGAATTCTGCACAATTTTTATTAGGTTATATCGATGTCTGATTTGTGTAATATATGTAGTGTAAATGTTGGAATGACTGAAGCTGGAATTTTTTGTGATTTTTGTCGGAGATGGATTCAAGCTAAATGCATCCCTAAATTATCTTCGAAAATGATGAAAGATTGGGCAAGTTGTAAAGAAAGTTTTATATGCTCATTATGTTATAACATAGATGATGCTTTACCTAGACTAATTAAAAATAGCAATATCAATTTTGCTTTAAATGAGTTAAAATTAGTGGAAATTTATTATAAAGTTTCTGAAAAATATTTAAAAAATAAATTAATAGGTGATGAAGATATTATTCCATTTAAAACAATAGAAGCGTTTCAACCCCAAATTTTATGTCAATTATTCTCCGAGATTAGCTATCGGCGATGGTAGCCGTTTCTATCGCTCGATGTCTTTAGCTCTTTATGGACACGAAGATGAGCATTTATATATTCGTCTTCTAACAAGCATTGAAATAATAATAAATTCAAAATAATTATGATATAAATTCAAAATTTATAATAAAACTATAATTGAAGAGCAAATTGTATCTGCCAATTATACAAAAATTTTACGTGTTGTTTTAAACATAAATGGATTTTCCCAGCTCTTGAATCTTTATGCACTCTAGAGCGAGAAGGTGTTCTAGAAAGTGAAAATACTCTAGATGGAGATTTTGTTTTTATAAACATAATCTGAATGTGTTCTAGAAGGAGATAATTTTATAGTTTGAGATTTTACTGGACTTTCCAAATCTATATATACAAATTTAGATGATGATGTCTTTGCAAATTAGAAAAAATTATTTGGAAAAAGGCTGCTAATATATTTGGGTATATCATGTAAGTCCACATGATATTAATATCAGTCTTCGAAGATACTTTAGCAGCATGTCCTTTTATAACTTTGGTGTATGTACTATATCCTACAACACCTGGTGGGAGGCAATTCGACATGAATGGTAGTCTTAAAGCTACGTTCGTTGAATAAAGGTGGAAGAGCTAAGAAAATCCATTTATATTTAAAACATCACATAAAATTTTTGTATAATTGGCCGATACAATTTGCTCTTCAATTATGGTTTTATTATTATAATAAAATTTTGAATTTATATCATAAATTCATTTATTTATTATTATTTCAACGCCTGTTAGAATACGAATATATAAATGCTCATCGTTGTGTCCATAAATAGCTAAAGACATAGAGCGATAGAAACGGTTACCATCACCGATAGCTAATCCTGGGAAGCATTGACATAAAATATGTGGTTGAAACGCTTTTATTATTTTAAATAGAAATGATGTCTTCCTTACCTATTAATTTTTCTTTTTAAAATATTTTTCAGAAACTTTATATTGAATTTCCAATAATCTTAACCTCATTTAATGCGCAATGGATATTGCTATTCTTAATTAATCATGGTAAAGCATCATCTATGTATAACATAAAAAGCATATAAAATTTTCCTTACAACTTGCCTTATCTTTCATAACTTTCGAAGATAATCTAGGGATGCATTTAGAGTGATTCCATCTCCGACAAAAATCGCAAAAAATACCCGCTTCAGTCATTCCAACATTTAGAATACATATAATAGACAAATCGGACATCGATATAACTAATAAAAATTGTGAAGAATTCTAAATATAAATATTTTATTAAATTTAAATTGTATAATTTTATTTTATTAAGTCATTTAAGAAAGCCATATTTATCATCTTATAATGGACAAAATAGCTTGATATTTATAGTGATTTTAAATGTTTTAAATTATAAATATACAATAAAATAGATAAAATAAATATATAAATTAAAACATTATTTTGATAATTTTATAAAGTCTACATATAAAATCGATTATAGGATAAGGTTGTAATAAATATGCTGGATTTTTAATTTTAAGTATGACATGCCCTATGATTCAACTAGCCCCTATATTAATTAAAATGTTTTGATAACTTTACACAAGTATAATCATAAATTAGTTAAAAATAAAATATTAATTACAAAATTAATATTAAATCCTTTTGTCTCGTATAAAATTAGTTATATCTAAAATAATTTAATGTGCAGATTTACACCATTAAAATCTATAATAGGGTCATGTTTAAATATGCTAGATTCTTAATTTTAAGTATGACATGTCCTGGTTCAACTAAGTTAAAGATAAAATCTTTTATTGAGCTGAGAAAATAAATAACACACCACTATAACAATGTATACTAAGTACAAGATATATATATAATATTTGAGATTTTTTTTTGGTATTTTATAAATATAATATTTATAATTGTAAATCAAAATTTGAAAAATTAAAATATTAATTAACTATTAATAAAAATATATAAAATTACTAAATAAAAATATATATATGTGTATTGAAGGCTCTAAAAAGAGCTCAATTTAATATTGAATATGTTCCTAAAAAACATAGTTATGTTTAAATATTTCTAGTTGAAGTTTTTGTTTAAGAAATATGAGTTAGCGGTCTTTGTTTGTTATATTAAAAAATTTTCCGCGGTACAATTAAAGTGTTTAGACTGGGAAGAAATGGCAGAAATATAAAATTATTGAATTTTGAATATTTATTGCTTTATTTATTTTTCCCGCTAGTTTAGAGGGTTCGAATTAATTGATGAAGAACTTGGTCGTTCATTAGCATGATTGCAAGGTAAAAATTATTAAATCGTGATAGGTTTGTAATCTGAGAATGAACAAACTAAATAAATTTTCCTAAAGTTTTTAATAATTATCGATCCTCCTGGCATTTTAATCTATATTTTCAAGATTAATTATGTGCAAGAAAGAGGCCTTAACTAATCTTTTTATGAAAATTTATATTTAATAAGGATTCGTGTAATATTGCTATTTCTAATTGATTTAAAGATTTTATATATATTATTTTTTGTCATCATAATGATGAAAACTTCAAATTTCTTACGTTTTATGTTTTATATAAATTAGTTTATACAAAATGAGTCGAAAAAATAATTTATGTTTTTTAAAACCCAAAAATCTAAAAAAAAAATAAGTAAACTGAGAATGGACATCATAACTCCCAAAAATAATGATGGAAACTTCAAATAGGATTATATAAGTTTGTACCAAATAAATTAATCCCAGGGCAAAGGAATTATGCTCGTTTTAATTAGTATTATTTTTGTAAATCTCTTGCGCCATCTAACGAAAATTTATTTATGCTTTTAAAATTTGATTATGGGTGTTATATTTTTTATACAATATATCTGTTTCATACATATTATAAATTTATGGATGAACTTTTTCTCCCATTATTTTAATTTTATTAAGATAATTTTAATTTTGGATAAATTTGATTTATATAATAAAACGTTTCATTTTATTTTTTTAAAAAATATAATATCTTAATATACAGGTATTTTTTTTGTCATTTTGTTAAGTCATCGTCATCAAAATTTATAATGTATTTTGTCGAGTCATCATTATCATAAAAAAAAATTAATATATTTTATTTTTATTGATAAATTTTTATTTAATTGTAAAAATGTGCAAGATAAAAAGTATTCAAAAAAAGGATAAAATTATTATTTAAATTGGTTTTTAAAAATTATTAAAAGATTATAATTAATTTCTTTTTTTTTAAATTTAATGCTTTCATTTATTTTATATGTATATGAATATAATAATCATTAGATTAGGACCCATATAATCATAATATAAGTAAATAAGTTAGAACATTATATAAATATACTAATGGTGCATTTAATATAAGTATTGTATTTGACACAAAAATTGCATAATTATGTAAATGGTAGTAGCATCAATAATAACAGGATGGAAATTAAATACCATTTATTTTAAACAAATTCATTACATTTTGGATTGGATAGTTACATTTGTGAAATAGATAAAGAAATTATTAAAACCAAATAGTCCTTAAACTATTGTTTGTTAAACGGCTCGTTTTTTAAAAACGACTAACAAAATATTTTTTAAAAAAATTCGGGCTGGGTCGGGTCGGACCTTAGAATTTTTTTTAAAAATATATCTAAATTTCGCCATTTTATGTTGAATTTTTTATGTAAAATAAAAAAAAATTGATTTTATTTATTGAAACTAAACGACATATAACACATGTCTCTTATTTTGAGTAATTAAAAAAATTAATTTTTATATTTAAATAAATTCAGGATGGGCTGGGCCGGTTAATTTTTTTAAAAAAAATTTAGGGCTCGGTCCAAGCCGGCAAAACTTTTTTGAAAAAATTAGGCCCGATGCAGATCACTAACTCCCATTTCCCTCGCCACTTGGTTACGCCGATAATGTCAAAATAATCAATCATTATATTCCGTTAACTTTAAATAGTCAATATTTTTTTCTACAGGAGGTAAATGATAGTAAGCTATTAGATACTTAGGTTAAATGCGTTCCCCCCTTAAAGAGAGATAAAAAAAAACAATAATTTTGTAAATCAACAACACAATGCAAATGTAATGAATTACGAGAAAAATTTAGAGGAAACATTGTGTATCCTTCCGCTTAAATCCTATTGTAAAAAAAATGGCGACAGCAAATGTCTTATCATTTTTCTCTGCTAATTTCGAGCGACATTTTTTTTCCGGAAATAGATTTCTTTTGATAAACTCATATTTTCCTTTTTTTAAAAAAAATACCGAACCTCATGTTTTAGTCCTGAAGATCGGTAAAACTCGGCCCCAAAACTCCTAGTAAAACCGGAAATAATTGGCTCCCCGAATTTGTTGCCATAGTCGGAGGCCCCGTCGCTCGCTTCGATCAAAATTTTGATAGGCGTGGCCATGTTAGGAGGATAGGCGTAATGGCGATTTTCCCAGGGGAGAGGAAAACCTTAGTTATTTATTTTTTTTAAAGGGATAATTAAAATTATAATCGTTTATTTCTGAGCAAAAACTGTCATATCTCTCTAGGTTGTACAAGGATTGGTGGACTAAAAGTATGGGGAAAAAAATTATCACCTACTCATTGTCCTATAAGAATTTAAGTGTTTCGTTCAAACAATAAAGCAAAAAAATTGGATAACATTCATTAAAAACAAAATTTATCAAGCATGAGGAATTTTTAAAAAAAACCATGCTACCAGTTGAATTACTGAGTTTTTTTTTAATTTATGAAAAGTAGCATCTTTCAGTTGATGTCCCGGGAAGTCTGCAAGATACCGGGTTTCGAGGGGTTCACAAATGATGATTCAAACTTGATCCATCTAAAACATTGTCATTCAAACCTGAATAAAACCTCTAAATAGGATCTATGTGAACCAGTTTGAATCTTTCAAATTAACAACTGCTCTTAAGCAACAAGTTTCCATTTTTTTGTATATTGCTATTTAAAGATGGTAGCAATCTATGTGATAGCTTTATAGAAGTATTCTCAGCAATATACCAATCTATTCTTTCTAGATACAGTATGGCAGAATCATGTTATAAAAAATTATTTGATATTAAAAAAATCTTAAAGCGTATAGAAGGAATTTCGATTTGTAGGTAGTAACCTCCCCTCAAATATTATACTGGAGGGTTTTGGTAGAGATTTTTGAAGGCCTTTTACCAGATTGCAACATTTATTTAAATATTTTTATTTTTTTGGTTTACACCTTAAAAAAGAAAAAAAAATTCCGAGTTATCTCCAATATTAAAAAAAATTTTAGCAGTATATTTAGTAATTAATTAATAAGAGGTATACATATTATTGATTACTTTATTGTATAATTTTCATGAACAATATACATTTTAAAGTATTTGAAATCTCAAAAAAATTAAACTCGTAAAACATGTAATTTTTTCATTTTACTTTCCTCTTCACTGCTCTATATTACATGTTAATAAATAATATACTAGAAATACCTTCAATAAGCAAATTTCCAACACAATATCCAGCAGTTCCTGCAATGACATGAGCTCCTCGACCCGTTGCTTGAACGTCTCTCATCCTACCACCTATGCCAGTGGCAGCACCAGGGAAAGGGGAAATTCCTTATTAGAAGAAATAAATTTTTTTATAACAAAACAATAATATAGTTTGGTTTAAAAAAATTTTTGCAAAAAAAATTAACATGTGACAATAATATCGTTTGGTTTAATTTATTTTTTATAAAAAATAAAAATTTAACATGTGACAATAATATCGTTTGGTTTAATTTATTTTTATAAAAAATAAAAATTTAACATGTGACAATAATATCGTTTGGTTTAAATTTTTTTAGCATGTGACATTATACCTGTGGGGAAATTATGCGTTTCCGCGGTCAATATAACGTGCAATTTTTGAGTCGTGACCTTATACGGGCTCGTTTTCACGTGATCACTCGGAATGTTATCTATTACGTCGAATCCCTGTATACCACTTTATTTAAAAAAAAACAAATCAATAGTTTAACCCTAAATTCATAGTGAAGAGCGATTCCGATCACTACATCTCATTCATAGTGTGAAAAGACTCTTTGAATTATCGCTGGGTTCTAACTCCAGAGGTCAACAGGTTCTTAGCATTCACTTTCGAGAGGGAATCCATTTCATTGAAATTAGATTCAGACGGAAAGTGCAGAGCTAGAAATTCCCAAAATATGCCTCTTTTTTTTTAATTATAAATTTAAAACAATTATTCTTATTTGAAACCTGCTATTATCGCTAAATTTTATGACGTTATTTTGGTTGGTATGCTTTTGGGTATCCATGACTAATTGCATTAATGTGAGCGGTTTGGCCTTTCCATCGATCACGTGTCTACCCTTGAAAAACCAATGCCGACTATGTTCACTGTTAGTAATGATGCATAACATTAAACGTTATTCAATTTTGACAGATAGTCGAGTTATTATTTAAATAAATATATTCGTTTATAATTTCCTTATCTTCAATAAAAAAATATCGTTTTTAATTATATACTGTTTAAAAAGCTAGACAAGTGTGTGTATTTACAAAAGTTTCCAAATTTGTGTGGGAGAAGAGATGTCTTCATGCCCCTTCTTAGCTAAACGCCTATGATATGATATATAAGTGAAAAAAATATGGATAAAAAAACCTGTTAGATTGAGCGAGATCAAAACATTCTATATTAGTGGGATTTCTCTTGAGTTGATCTTTGAAAAGATGGACATAAGAATCAATATCGTCCGCATCCAATCCAAAGTCTTTTTTTTTAAATTTAATTTAAAATAGGTTTAGGTACTAGAGTGAAGTTAGACCCCATTTTTTCTCGACAAATTTTTTTTTAAAAAAATTCAAAAATAAATAAATAAATAATTTATAAACAAAAAGAAAAGAAAATTCAGCCATTTTGTTATGACGAATTAAGTCCAATGGGCCTTGGGTTAGAGCTGGCTGATTAAAATAAATATATTACATTTTTGTTTTTAAACATTTTTTGGGGGCTTTTTGGGACAGAACTAAGAACCTATAACATGTACTCCATACAGGTTATTTCTAGCTCCCTTATAGGAGAGTTGAAAGATAATTTTGATCGTATTTTAAATTGGAAACTTGTAAAAGAAATAATTCAAAAAATGAAACCACAAATAATGACATACCTTCATCATATTTTTGTTGTTTGCCCCTTTCCAAAATCATGTCATTACCTTATATGAAATTAATATATATTTTTATTAAAATCAAGATCTAACCCTGATTATATTTCTCCATGATATCAAAAATTATAATAGTTTGAATATAAAATTTTAAAATATGTTTATTTTACAATATAGCGTCCAAATAAAATAATATCTGTATGGGCTGCCTGCTTACATATCGCCCCAGGACATCATTCTAGATTATAATCAATTGATTTTTTAATTTTAATCACAATACTTTTCATATTTTTATTAAATCGTTAAGTATAAATGTAATAAACATTTTTAGTTAATATTAACACCCCAAAAAAATCCCTTCCTAACAATGTTAATTTTTTATTTTTACCGGAAATAAGAAAACACTTGAAATTTTTTAAATATTTTTTTAAATTTTCCAACGTAAAATTTTAAGGGCTATAAAATGATACATAATTTGTAACTCTATCTTAAGTATTTTTTTAAAAAAACACGATTTAAAGAAATCACGTACTTCGCCATTTTCGACTTTGAAGGCGTATATCTTTTAATCTGGTGAGCTAGCATTCTAAAATTTTGATTTGTTTAACATTTACTACATAAATAACTAACATGCAAAGTTTCATTCATTGATGGTCTGCCGAAAATCTCGTTTTTTTGGTCGATTTGAAGTGGAATCACCCATTTACTATTGTTGAAATATCTTTGGGAAAAAACTTTTTTGATGTCGAAAATTTAGTAATAACTTGTTTATTAAATTTTTGTTTCATGTGATTCAGTTATATTATTTGTGAAATTTTTAAAAAATGAACTACTGATGATCTGTCCAATCAAATAACCCATTCATTTTTTAATACGATGCCAATTTGCTTGGTAATATTTATGTTACTAATGGATGCTTTAAATTTATTAGGTTTAAATATATTTTACTGTATTCTTCCTCCATTTCATGCATACACTATCTTTTGTAAGAAAAACTGTTTTCACCTCTTCCCCCTGTTCTGTTTAGTAGAAAAGGTCCATTATTCCCTTATGGCACTCTTTCTCCAGAATTCAAGTAAAAAGAAGTGTTAACAACTTTTTACTTGAAAAAAATCTTTTTATGAAATAGCTGAGAGTAGCTTAATAAAAATCCGAGTTGTTTAATAATATTTTCGATATGGGGTATAAGATAAATGTAACATTTAAACAATGTTCCTGTGGGTATCTTATACAATGCTCCTGCCCTTGTAGACATATTATGTTAAGGGCTTCACATAATTTGGACAAATATTGCCCAGAATTTTGCAGCAAAAGCATATTCCATATCTTGTAATCCTGATACACATGAAGTGGGCCACCCAAATATTAACATTCATTAATCAAACACATCATCGCATTACAAAAAAAAATTATCACAGAGAGAAAAATATAATAAAAAAATACAGGAATCAACATCCCAGGCTGATTTTTTCTCGCATTTATCACAAGACAAATTTGATTTTGTTCTCAAACAACTTGATATTATGGAGATGTGTAATCAGGTCAGGATGACAAATTGTTTTATATAATCCCCACTAGAGAATGGTATTTTTATTTTATACAAAAATTATAAATATTTTTAAACTATAGATATTGCCACAACCTCATATCCATTACCTCAAGATATCCCAGACATACAGGTGAAGGTATCAGCAATTATACAAAGTAATATTGTATCTAGATTTAAATAAAAATATATATATAACTTCATATAAGATATTGACATGATTTTGGAAAGAGACAAACAACAAAAATATGATGAAAGTTTGTCATTATTTGTAGTTTCATTTAAAAATATATTTCAATTATTAGTTTGCAATTGAAAAAATATGATCAAAAAACATTGTTTTTACTCTTTTTTTAGAATAAAAAGTATTTGGAGAGCAAAATACGTAATCTAATATAACCTTGCTAGAATGAACAGGGCATGGCAGGCGTAAAGAATCCGATCTAACAGTTATTTGTCCAGAAAAAATATCTGTAGAAAATATTAAGATAGGAGAAAGTACTATCCTTCATATAACTTTTGACATTTAATATTAGAATAACCTTGGGCAGAATTTATCAATTTATAATAACTAGCAATATAAATTCAGGCATTTATATAGATTTTTTCATTTACCTTTATTTTAAATTTATAGCAAATGGAATTTTGCAAGAATCCAGAGAAGATATAGAGAATATAATTTTTTTTTATCAGAAAATAAACCCATGGCCTATTCAGAACTTATAAATAGATGAAAAGCAGTTTGGATTATAGCAAGATTATCAAAAAATTAATGATAAAGATAAAATGGAAAAACAGCTTATAATTATCGATAACGATATTTTTACAACTATTTCGACGGGGACATGCAATATCTTAAAAATGATAATGACGATATTAGTCTCATCGTATCATACATTACAATGGAAGCATGGATAAAACTAAATGATTTATAAAATCGTATTATAGCCATTGTTTTGTCAAATAATGTGACATAATTTTGAAAAATGATTTATCTATAATCTCTTAAATTAGTACTATTTCCATTGCCAAAATAATATAAAAAAAACCAGGGACCAAGAGTGAACCGTTAATCCATTATAAATCGTTATAAATATCTGAACCATAACTGTAACCGATATAATTATTTTTTGAATGAGTAAAAAGAACCTTTATAAAAACTGTTTAAACCGGTTCAATTTTTATATTTTAGAAATGGAAATAATTTGAATATTTAGAATTATATAAACTTGCTCTTATAGTACTGGCGGTTCCAGCAACACAAGTTTCTGTAGAAAGGGCTTTTTAGGGGCAAAAATTTGTGTTATAGTCACAACGAACAAAAAGGAATCCATTTATATTAGAAAATATATTACTTATACGTTCAAATTATATATTTAAAAATGAGTTATTTTTAATCTTATATATAATTCATAGATGCTTATAATAAAAATAAATTAGAAGATGGTGTTGCTTCGATGAAAAAAATTTTCTAACCGTAATGAACTTTTATAAACCTTTATAATTAGCTGAACCGAACCTTTATAAATTTCTTTTTAAGAACCATAACCAAAACGTAACCATTATAATTTTTTACATAGTGAACCGTAACTAAGGTCCCTGAAAAAAACCAGGGAAAAATCTACGGTTTTGAATAAATTGTCATTTATTGTTTATATAAATTAAATATTTTGCTCATATTTATAAAATATATATTAATAAAGCTTATTCAGTCATTTATTATATTATAAAATTTGATTTAAGCCACCAATATAAATAAGATTTAATAAAATAACTATTTTTTGCATTAGCCCTTATTCAGATATCAGAAATAATTTTATTATAAAAATTCAAATATCACAATAATGTTATTTTTTAATATATTCTGAACACTAGATAATAATTATTGTTTCTAAAAATTTTGAAAATACTCTTTTAGAAGAAACATTTTGAAAATAAATTTTTTTTTTTAGCAAAAATATAGTTTTAAAAAAACAATGTCTAATTTACAAAAAAACAGGTTTATACACAAAAAACGATATTTTTAAAAAAAAAAAACAAGGTTTGACTTGCTAAAAATAAGGATAGTTTTAACATAAAGGGGCACATAGCCTAATATTTTGTATTTACCTCCCTAAACAGGAGCACATTGCTTAAAATATATAAATGATGTTTACTTTTATACTATTTGTATAATCTTAGAATTGAGTTATTTTAATAATTTAATCACCAAATTACCTTTTTAAATATGGTGCATAAACATGAAAAGATAATATATAATAAACACGTTAGATGACATGATCTCTCACCAATACCCAAAATGGGAGTATATAGCTTTAGTGATTTAAATATTATTGGAAAGTGTAAAGTTATTCAAAAATGGAGGAATAATAAAAACTGAACTAATAATAAAAACTTCCCTTTTTTAAGGGTTGTGCTCAAAATACCAAAAAAATTCAATTAACAATAGAAAAATAAATAAGCTTTTTAAATATAAAAATATGCATAAAAATATAATATAGAAAATTTCAAAAATTTAACATATGATGTACAAAGTGAATTTTAAGAATCTGAGAAAAAAATTACAAGATACCTAGTTCAGTGTTCAATGTTTCCAAGGCACTCCTACCATATTTCATTACATCAATGTCATAGCATATTTTGTTTTCATTGGAATAGTTTTCTAATAATCAAAATTGATAAATAGATATAGTGTTATATTAAAACCATCAAATTCAGATTTAAAGGAAACTAATGGAAATGGGTATATAGTTTGGGTCATTTTATCACAGATAGAATTTATAAATCTAAATTTTTCTAAGGATATCCAATTATCAATTTTAGAATTCTTTTTATCTAAAAATGTTATAACAGAAAATGAATGCAACTAATTGTACCATAAAACATATAATATCTCATGCTTCTTTCCAATCTTTCAATTTTATCCATGCCCAAGGATTTGCATATTGACACACAATTAGTAGAAAAGGGTGTAGAATAATTGATCCTGTAAAAAATATATTAGATAAACCATCAGAATAATATGCCTAGGTCCAATCTCAATTATTTCACAATCATCCTCTTTAAATTTAGATATATAAGAATCTTCAGATTTATCACAGTCAAGTATATAAAGTAATCTAAAAAATATATAATTTTATAAAATATTAAAGGATAAAACTTTTCTTCATCGTAATTGTTAAGCCCATTTACACATTGAACATAATAACACTCTTCTAAATAAATATTTTGTATGTAATCAGGAATAACATTTTTAAATTTATTAATATAATGTTTTTCGATTTCATGATCTACTGATTTATAAAATTTCAAAAGCATAGGCAAATTAAAAAATTGTGCCAAACCGAACTTTTAATTGTTAAACACACAATATTTTGATAGCTTTCTATTACCCTAAACTTTAGCAATTATCAAAGTTCTTAGGCTTCTACTATATAGAAGGGCATATAATACAATCCATTCATTAAAAAAATTTTTTTTTTTTGTGGGAGGAGGGTAATATTTATTAAGATGCCGTATACTATTTGAATGTAATTTGAAAGGGTAAGAGGTAGGGAGGTAGTTTTGATCAAAGTTATTTTTAAAATTTTGATTTGGATTCTTTTTCGCTAATTTTTTTTTATTTGCTCGAAGTAATAAATGGGTATATTCTAAAGGAGGAATTGGGAGGTTTATATTTAGAGGATAAGGGCAATTTGTTTATTTATTAGAAAAGGGGAGGACCAACTCAATATTTTATTTGGAAATATATTATGCACGACTTAAGATTTTGCTCATAGGTAGCACAAAGATTTGAACATCTATTAACGAAATTCTTAAAATCGAGCCGTTTAATAACACTACTTGGAAAATTATAGCTTGATATTCAAAAATATTATATATTTTTTTCAGAAATATATTACCAAGAAGCGATGAAACGTAAAACAGAGAATATTGGGAAAAACGCTCCAAGTCTATAATCGTCTTTCAAAGTAAATCTCGAAAAATACAAATGAAAGGAAAACACATGATAACAAATGACAATAATCTTAACTTTGTAATGAAAGATTCATAAAAAATAAATTATATTACTATTATTGTGATTGATATTTACATATCTTATATCTGGGAGTCCTAGGACTTTTATAGAAAAGGTTGCTAAAAGGTGGAATTTTATAATTTTTTTAAAAAATTTTCCAAAATTTATTAAACTCTAGTATATAATTTAGGTCGTCATCCGGGCTTCGGTCGGGGTTATGTCATAGAATTTCACTTACTACTCTTAGTGTTGTTAAACGATTTGAGATCATTTTAAAAAGGCGGCAAACTCCATATTTCACAGGATATGGTTGATAATAAGAAAGCCAGTAACCAAAATAGGTCACCTAATTTAAGGTTGAGTATATCTTCTACGAGGCATTTAATCTCGAGGTCATGCGCTGCAAGTTTGACATCACATTGAAAGATTTGTTACGATATTAGATTAGATTACTAGATATAAATTATATTTTTACTGTGTCATCGGAAAAATATTGCGAGTCTCAATATTTTGTTTATAGATGCCCAGCCCTTTGTGACACCCAGAAAAATCTTCGGTCTTGCGTAATGTTTTACAGGATAAAATAATTGAGTTAGCTATTTTTAAATATAATTTTAAATCGAGCCTTTTAGCAACTCTAACTACTATTATAATAAATTAATATGTAGGTAACCGTTAAAAAAAATGTATATCTATTACAATTGTAAAATTTAACATAAATTCTTTAATATTAAAATCCGACTTGAGTTTAAAAAGCTTTCATATTTTAGATTTTCCTATCAAAAATTTAGAAAAAAAAATATTTTTACCAATTTCGCCCTAAAATTTAGAATTTTTCGTGATAAATAGAACTGATTTTCAATAATGAATATTGAATTAATTGAAGAAAAAGCTCAACTTTTTGTTAACTCACAAATCAACATAAAAATGGAATGTATATCGAATTTGAACAACCTTAACGTATTTGTGTTTAGATTTTATTTTTATTTTGACGTGTATCGTGGTATAATAATTTAAATCATGAAATGTAGTGATGTTAAACGGCTCGCTTTGTTGCCGATTTTTAAAAACAGCTAACTCACCGCTTCATCCCGAAAAACATTGCCCAAGCCTGAAGATTTTGCTCATAGAAGAAACAAAGGTCTGGTCATACATTATCGAAATCTTGAGGCTTAGGCAAAATATATTTCCGGCTAAAATTTTGAGTTAGCGGTTTTTGAAAACCGGCTCAAAATGAGTCGCATAACAACACTTTCGCTTTTTTTGAGGCGAATATAAATTATAAATAAAATAATTTAATGGCCCAAAAGAAAATAAATATATTTGTTCATTACAATTAACCCTAAGATTTCGTATGAAAGATATATTAAATAAAATATAAATTTGGATTCTAATTATTTAAAAAAGTTAGTATTTAAAAAAAAAGAAAAGGTAAAATTAGTGATTATTTTGTAAAGGGTAAGTGTTTTAGCACACTCATATCACCTAGCTAATGCCGCTCCCGTCTAATATATGCAAACATATCAAAAAATAAACACATTTCCTAACTTATAATGATGGTGGATTAGGCCTATCAACTAATCAATTGATTTGGAAACATATATGCGCCATATATAATACCATCAAACCTAGAAAGGTGTGCATTTAGATTTAAAATTTTTTTTGGCTCTCCCGATATTTATATCTATATTCATATTATAACCAAACCTAAAATATTTAATTTTTTTGTATACTAATAAATAGTATGTAAAATTGAATTACTAAAAGGGAAATACAAGTGTTTCTTAGAAACACTAACCTTTTCCATCTCAGTTCATCACGCATGGCATTGTGATATACTAATATTATATATTTTTTTATATTCATTATTATTTGTTATTTGTTCTATTTTTCAATAATAGATTTTGTAAAGAGTATTATAATATATATTTATATTTTTTTTTACCTTTTGTAGTTTCTATTGGAATATTCTAGAAAACTTAAAATTTATTTTTCAAATCAAAAAGGCAAAAATGTGAGAGTTAAAGCAGCCAGAACTTCTGCAACACTAGTTCCAAAATTGTTTTTCTTCGAATAAAATTTTTGATTTGGGGAATTATATGTATATGTATCAGAAAACGAATCAATTGTTTTTTTTTGTTGGTTTTATATGAATAACTTCTATAATAATTGAGATTCTGCCCAGGAACCATAATTAATCTCATATTCTAGGTTATATTAAAGATATAATCCTAAAGATAATGAACATAATATTAAAAAAAATAAAAATTAATTTAGTTCAATATTAGATGAATGATATATATTATAGCTGTAGTTTCAAACAAAAAAAATTTTTTTTTTCGATTTAAGAACATTTAAATTACTTTTTTTAAAATTTTGTTAAGGCTACAGGCGTTACATTCTATATAGAAGTTTTAAAAAAAATTAACTTGAAATTAACGTCTTGATATTTTTTTTTTCCTGCAAAATATTTTAAATTTTAAAAAAAAATTATGGAAAAATAATGAGAATATATTCCTATGTATTTGGGATTATAATTTTAAAAAAAATCATCTAAGAGATTTAAGAGAAAAGCGAGGAATAAATAAATTTTCAAAAAATAATGGTAGAAGGTTTAACCTTTGTTTTTCGAACAGACCTTTCCTTTCCTTTCCTTTCCTTTCCTTTCCTTTCCTTTCCTTTCCTTTCCTTTCCTTTCCTTTCCTTTCCTTTCCTTTCCTTTCCTTTCCTTTCCTTTCCTTTCCTTTCCTTTCCTTTCCTTTCCTTTCCTTTCCTTTCCTTTCCTTTCCTTTCCTATTTTTTTTAAAAAAAATATGTCATTTTTACCACTATTTTTTTTTACCATTCTTTCGAAACAAATTATCATTTGAAAAGAGCAATTTACTTTAAGAATAAATATATATAATATTTAATAAACTTATAAATTTATTCAATGAAAAATCAGATGAAATATCTAGAAGATTATATAAAAAAAAATCTGAATATTGGTTTAAAATTATTTTGTGCATCAATGGTTATGCAGAAAAAATATATTGGAAAATAGTCGAAAAATGAGCCATATTTTTTTTTATTAAAAAGAATAAAATATAATATAATATTTAACAACTTATAATGTATACAATGTTTATAAATGGATGTCTATAAAAATTATATTAAAAGGAAAGAAAGAAAGAAAGAAAGAAAGAAAGAAAGAAAGAAAGAAAGAAAGAAAGAAAGAAAGAAAGAAAGAAAGAAAGAAAGAAAGAAAGAAAGAAAGAAAGAAAGAAAGAAAGAAAGAAAGAAAGAAAGAAAGAAAGAAAGAAAAAAGAATATTTTTATAGAAAAAAAACTAAGATATCCTTATTTTTTCGAGAATAATTTTGCCTCATAAAAATTAAAGAGGTTTACAAGAAATGACATAAAGTAATATTTATTTCCTATAACGACCATCTTTGCGTCATCTTAGAAACACTAAAAAGACAAATTTGTTCATTGATATAAAAGATATTCATTTTTTTTAAAAAGAAATGTACAATCATATGTGCGTAATTAATCGAAATTTGGAAGGAACGACACATGTCATTCCTTAGATTATTTATTAAACAAGTAACATGGTAAATTGAATTTTAATTCAACATCTAATTATCATTAATCAAAACTGAAAAAAAGAGAAGATAAAAACGTGAGATGGGAAAACTTTGATCTTTCAGTGTGAATTATTTGAAATATAGCAAAGTTTAATAAATATTTTAGTCTACATCTATAAAATCGCGGTAAAACATATGGGAATCTGGCAGCGCGATCTGCCAATCACGAGAGAATGAGCGATAATACAGAAGCTGAAGAAATAGCTTTAAAATATGAGATATTTAATAGTTATATTTTGGAAGGGGAAAAATGTTCCAAATATATGAATTTTGACGAACCATGCCTCAAGATGTAAGATCCAAAGACATGGGTAAATATTTTTGGGGTTAAACATTTAGATAGCGTTCTATTGATATAAATATCTGGATCCAACTGGCAGCCCGATCTGCCAATCATGAAATTGATTGATAGTATACCTTTCAATTTATTCAAAACCGCAAAAAACATCTTTATTTTTTTTAGACTAATCCAAAAAAAATTGATTTAAATCACTATTTAGATTAATCATTCCATAGATGGAATATTATTTCATTTAGAGAAACTTTCTCGTGGGAAATTATGATTTTTAGGCTGTACTTGTCTAGTTTCATTTAATCGTTAACCAGAACTCCCTATAATGATGGATATGCAATTTTACTAAACATGTCAATGCGGAGAAACTAGAAATCTTTGTTAATTCAATATCACCAAGAAAAGAATAATATAATTTAGCAATGATAATTGGGGTTTAGAAGAGAAAAAAAAAATATAATATAATAGTTTAAATAATTCTAGGATGATTATATATTTTTTATCTCTTATAAATGCCGAAATTGTCGATATTCGCACTAGTTTTCGCCATTTATGCGATATTACACTCTTCGCGCGATTATTTTTGTCACCCAATCGGATTTAAGTTATTTTATATAAATTATTTAATACTTTATGTGTGTGTATCCTCTAGGAAAAAACGACGAATGATACACGATTGTTAAAGACAAATTAACCCACATTAACATAATTACCGGAATATTTTTGACACATTTTAACATCAAAATCGATATTATATTACTACATTACAGCATAGTGCGACTTACAAGATTATAGTAATACTATTAAATGGTTCGTTGAGCGAATTTTAATAAAGATAACTTTTATATTTTAGCCAGAAACCTATCTAAGAATAAGCCTTCCTTTTATATTAACATAATTAGAGACCTCTATCGGAGATATTTATATTTTATTACCTATTTTTTAAAAAATTATTAAATTAATTTTTTTTTCTTTTTTTGTATTTTTTCACCCCCCTTCCCCCTTCATTTCTGTTATCTGTATATTTCCTCCATTTTGTAATATTTTAAAAGAATTTTAAACATTATCATTCTGATTAATTTCTAAAAAAAAATTGTTTTAGCGAAATATTAAACTTAATAAATACTAATATTTTGAATTATATATATTATGTTGTAGTATTCAAATCTACTTTTAAACAAAATCAAGAAAAAAACCAAGATTGTCTTATGAAAATTTTTATATTTTTTTAATTTCAGACTTATGTAAATGAATATTATAAGAAAAAGATATATAATTTCAGGATATTTTTTACTGTTTACTAGTCTTGCTAAATTACCTAAGTTTAGTCAAGCTTTTATAAACCTCTAAGTTGAGTCTCATCTTGAAGATCGATTCGACGAATATGATTGGTTAAAAACCCATGGCTACGCTGCGTTATAGCTTCATAGCTGACTAAAGTTAGGTGGTACACTATACTATTTACGGAACTTATTATTTTTCGCACATAATTTTTAATCTTTTATACTTTTAATTTTTCTTTGTATTTATTTTATTTTATCTCTTAAAATTTTTTTACTTTTTAATTTGATAATTTAGTATTATTATATGGTTATGAATGAATAAAACGTTTAAAATATTTTCTCGAATACAGCAATTGATTTTCAACCCCGACTAAATAATATATACTATTTTTTAATTTTATATGATATATTGTATATATATATAACAGTTAATAATATTTATACTAATTTTTAAAAAAATACACTAAAAATTCGAACCGTTATTTATAACGGTTCAGTTTATTTACGGTTCACGTAAAAAATTATAATGGTTACGTTTTAGTTACGGTTCTTAAGAAGAAATTTATAAAGGTTGGCTTCCTATTCAGCTAATTATAAAGGTTTATAAAGGTTCATAACGGTTAGAATTTTTTTTTTTATTGAAGCGACACCAACTTCTAATTTATTTTTATTATAAGCATCTATGAATCATATATAAAATATATATATATATATAAGATTCAAAATAACTCATTTTTTAAATATAGTATTTGAACGTATAAGTAATATATTTTCTTAATATAAATGGATTCCTTTTTGTTAGATGTGACGATAACACAAATTTTGGCCCCGAAAAAGCCCTTTCTACCGTAACTTGTGTTACGGGAACCGCCAGTACTATAAGAGCAAGTAAATATAAATCTGGATATTCAAATTATTTCAAAAACTGAACCGGTTTGAACCAGTTTAATCGTTTTTTATAAAGGTTATTTTTTACTCCTTCAAAAAATAATTATATCGGTTCGGTTACGGTTATGGTTCAAATATTCATAACGGTTTATAATGGTTTAACGGTTCGTTACGGTTCACTCAGGGTCCCTGGACCGGAAGTGCCCTAAAAATAAAAATATCAAGCCAATCCGATCCAATTATTGATTTAGATCTGGAATTAAATTAATTCCTGCTTCCACAAATATGGAATGGATTGGCGCCAAAATTTTCTCACAAAGAAAAAGAATGTAATAATCAAAGTTGCTTGTAGGGTTTATCATAAAATCTTGTTTTATGTTTAAATATCAAAAATCAATTTTTATAAAGTTTTTTTTATAGTTTTTTTTTTAGAAAATTAATTTAATTTTTTGGAATAGAAAATAATATGTAAATACGAAAAACGAATGGTACATACAAAACAAATTATGAAATGAATAAAACAAATGATGAAATAATGAATAAAACATATTATGAAATGAATAAAACAAATTTTTTTTTGGTATAAAAATATAACAAGAAAAAACTTTGGGTTAATTATTGTATATCGTTGAATGTTATTGATTTTTATACAAAAAATTGATTCTTCATACAAATAAATTAATTTTTATTACAAAAATATTGATATTTTGCACAAAATAAATGAACTTATATATAAAAAAATTGATTTTTCTTTTGAGTAACGTCTGTGACTTAGTCGGTGAATGAATTATTATAAACCGTATTAATGATCTGAATTGGGATCCAGGAAGGACAGCCAACTAATTGGTTCTACGGGGTGTTATATATAAAATATCGGGCGTAACGCTCATTACCGAAAACATTTATTAGCCCCTCTTTATAAATTAAGGAGACAAATTGATATAAATATTTGGTTATCATCCAAATAAGGGTATACCAATAGAAATAAGGAATAAATGAGCCAATAGAAATACGATTTTTTTTGATCACTCGGCACAAGTTAAATAATATATTAATTTTTTTACAAAAAAATGATCGAATTTCGCATTAAGATGTATTGTTTTACATATAATCATTATTTATCGCAATTTTAGATTAGAACAAAAACTATTCAAGATTATGACCCCTTTATTAATATGATCGTCTTATGATTCGAAGTATTTATAACTATTTACACAAAAGTTTTATACCAATAACTATAATTTTAGGGCCAAATCGTTGAATATATAATTCCGATTAGACTCCATGCAACAAATGGCTTTTTAACTGGTAAAATTGGCCGTCTCTAGAATGTTCGGATCTCACCGTGCTCCCCCCGACTACGCCCCAGTGGAAATGGGCCTGCACGAACTCGTAGGCTACCGCCTTCCCATCCCCGAGCAGCCTTTAGCAGAAACCCGTAACGCGTTTTTTCTATTCTCCACGTACTGGTAACCGGACTCTCCAATTCGTATTGCGGAAATGCAGAGAATAATCCTTGAAGTTGGCTTTGATGGTTTCGCTCGTTCTGATATTTATCGGTGACTGTACGGAAAGCGAGGGCGATTTTACGCTACTCAGATTACCGTTTCTTTGTTTAACCGCGAGCTGCCTTCGAGTGTACTGAACGTTAATAGAATTGGGGTATCCCCCCCCGTCTCTATGATGCATCCTTTCCTGTACAAAAAGTCGATATCCGCTCGGACACTCCATATTTTATCGTGCGTTAGATCGTTGTAAAAGTGAATTATTATAGTTAATATGACGAATTTATGATTGATAAGAAATCCAATAATTTTCATTTAATTTAAAAAAATATTTTAAATAAATTAAAATAATATTTTTAACCGAAATTTAAAATTTTTTAGATTTTCTTTTGCTAAAATTTTTCGAATATCAATTTTTTTAAATTTTTTTTTATTTACTGAACATTTTTTTAAAAATCTAAATATATTTTAAATTTAATTTTATAAATATAAATAAACATTTATTATATATAACTTATTTTTATTTTTTGTGGTAATATTATTAATTGTCAAAATTTAACCTTAATCTTAAAAAATTAAACTTTTTTTTATTCTAATATTTTGCAACTATATAAAGTAAAAGAGAAGAGAAGAGAAGAGAAGAGAAGAGAAGAGAAGAGAAGAGAAGAGAAGAGAAGAGAAGAGAAGAGAAGAGAAGAGAAGAGAAGAGAAGAAATTTTTTTTTAAAGAAACTTAAAAATGATAAAAGGATGGAAACCAAAATCTATAAACTCCATAATAAATATCAGATAAAATATTATTCAAAATGATGAAAATGACCTTGATATTAAATATAACCTGAATTATATTTTTTATATTTCACTTGTGGAGGAATTTGGTGAAAAATTTTTTTTTTTTAATATTAATTATCTATATAAAAATATAAAAAAAAAATTCGAAAATCAATCGATTATTATACATAATTTTTTTTTCTTTAAAAATGAAAACAAATAAATTTTGGTGACAATATGATGAGACTTCTTTATTTTGATCAGTGAAGGTAAATCGCGCATGCTCAGATCAGTTTCTGACCATTAACTCAATCCAAGCATATGACGAAACCCAAAAAATGATTAATGTAATATATGCCCATATTGAGATCTGTGATATATAATAATACCTAGAACTGACATTTATAATAATGCATTTGAAAGCGCTTTGTTGAATGCAAATCAGCTGGTCCCGCCCATTTTGGTTACCCATATAGTAATTATTCCATATTAAAAACTACCATTAAATTGATAACTTTCTTGCCTCATTATCTCGATGATCAGGCGATTCTTTCATAAAGTTTGCCGTAATTAAAATGGCGTCCCCAGCTGTTTTTCAATGATGTACAGTTTTAATGAATGCATCGTCAGTCTAGGTATTATTTTATGTCATTGATTGAGATATGAAATCTATTGATAATAAGATCCTTTACCGAGAGAAAATTCATGAAATCTGATTTAACCAGAAATGTAAAAAATCCACATAAAAATTAGAATACGCTAAGAGAATTTTCTGAGGGTGCGAAATTGTAACGGCGAAATTGTTAAAAAAATTTGCCCTGCGAGTATACTCCTGTACACACGAAATACATTTCCGGTCAAATCAGATGTTTAAAATTTTAAAATCGTCATCGATAAATGATTTTGAAATAGAAATTCCAAATCCCTGTGGATTCAATATCCCAATACGACATATACTCCTAAAATGATCGCGTTTTTGGTCATGTCTCATAGTGCGAACAAATTGAGAAGAGCCCATAATGCCATGGCCTCATGCAAATTGGTAAAATTACCGTTTGGCGTTAGCAACCATTTTGAAAAAAAAAACGCAAACAAGCGGAAGGATACTAAATTTTTTTAAAACTTTGTTTCAATATTAATTTAGGCGGAAGGACATCATCTTTTTTTTTAAACTTTTTTTTACGAAATTAATTTAAGCGGAAGGATATCAAATTTCCTTAAAAGGAGAGGACCTCCATATTTATTATTCGCATTTGTTTTTTTTAGACAAACATAAAATTTTTTTTTAGCGAGATGTATCATATTTCAGATTTAAATCGTACTAAACAAGCCCAGCCCGTGGCTCGTTAAGAAGTTTAGTCCAAGTTGCCCCGCCGGTCTAAAATTTTTTGTCCGGTCCATCTACGAAAAAAATTTTTTCATACTAATTTTTCGGGCCTTTACATCTGTATATATCTTATTTATTTTTCTTTAACCAATATCTATTAAAGATTTTTATATCTCTACCTCTACGGTTTAGATTTCTATAACACCAGTTTATAAATGTCGTGTTCGATATTAACATATTGTAAATAAGTTTAAAAAAATTTTGTGAATTTACTCTTATAGTTAGACACATCTCTTAAAATTACAAAGAGAATTAACATTTTTTTTGGAGTTTCAAAACTAAGCTGGCCAATTTTATGTATAAATTATCCGCTCTGGTTTAGCCCAAAATTTTTAATATCATTTCAGAAAATGAATAATTTTTAAGCTTTTTGACATTTTAGTGCATTTGTGATAGGATGGTTTGCTAACTAGAGTCTTTCTAAATTTTTTTTTCTTACTTTCATCAAATTCCGGTCATGGGTGTTACTTTATATGAATATTTACTGATTGAATCAAACTTATATTCCTAAATATTTTATATGTACTGGAATACCTTTTCGACAAAATCAGCTGTTAACAAATTTGTGCGTTATTTTCCAATTCTAAATTTATTTTCGTGGGGTTTAAAAAAATCGTAATTTAACCAGAAATGTATTCCATCATGCGAACCAATAAAAAATCATTTTAAAATATTGGGTTAAGCGCGTTAAACATTAGCCAATGGGTGGGCGGGCGGGCCTTCGTGTTACAACCCTCTAAACCTCCCTTCAAATTTCATGGTAACATAATAGTGTCCCCCAAATTTAGTCCGTTCTAAACGATAAATGGCATTAAGGAAATTGGTAAAATTATCGTTTGGCATTTAGCAACCATTTTTAAAAAAAATAAATAAATAACGTAAACATCTTATTCTCCATTTTGTAAAAATTACATAAAAAAGGGAACTTACTTAGATCTTTTAAAAAATGGAATATTTAAAAATTCGAAGATATAAAAAAAAAAGGCAGACGATAAAATATAATTTTCAATTTGGATGGACGATATTAATAAAAAAACATGCTTTACATTATAAAGAAAATTGCGTTATATTAACAAAGATCGACTTTCTTTCTTTCTTTCTTTCTTTCTTTCTTTCTTTCTTTCTTTCTTTCTTTCTTTCTTTCTTTCTTTCTTTCTTTCTTTCTTTCTTTCTTTCTCTCTTTTATATGTATTAAGTGATGAATATATTTAGACGAGAATTCAGACACCATTACAATAGAGGAAACGTAACCAGCGAAGAACTTATTTATAGTCGAACTTAATCTTAGTTTTAACCTTTTACATTCCTTAACCTTCACTTTAAACCAGGACTTCTAACCGAACCGTTATAATTTTCTGAATCGTAACCGATCCGTTATAAAATAAATATAAAAAGAGCAGACCGAAGTGTTATAAAAAATTTTTGAACCGGTGGGGGTTTAAAAATAATTTATTCAAAATTTTAATTTTCCTTGGAGACAATCAATACCAAGTTTTTATTGTTTTTAAATTTACATACGCAATTTAATAAGAGATTAATTAGGCAAATGACTAGTTACATTGAATAGTAAATGTTTCAAAAATATAAATTAACAAGATTTTTCTCTAAGATTAATAGATATATAGCGGAGACCTGCAGAGGTATCATTTGTCGGGCCAGCCTAGTAGGTTTTTTTTAAAAAAAAAAATTTACAGTCCCGGCCCGGTTTTTTTAAAATAATATATAAAAAACCGTAAAGAACCGAAAAGAACCGCTATACATTCTGAACCGAACCGATATAAATTTCTTCAAAAAAAAACCCGAAATGAAATGAATCCTTTATAAAATTATAAAATCCGTAACCAACCGAAACCAACAGAACCGCTACTTAACGGTTCGAACACCTGTCTTTAAACCCTTTATGAATAAGAAGAAAATATTAGATTGTATTGACAATTAAATCTATTATAACAATATTATTACAAAAACGGAAAAAGGATTCTGTTAAACCTCGTCCAAGCACAACATACACCAATTTATATTTAATCATGGAACCATATGCTTGCTTCCGATCTGCTATGATACAAAATTACCTGGGTTAGCTTCAGAAAAAAATGCGATCCTTCCCGAATTCTAACCAAGATGTCAATCACCGCCCGAGTATCACACTCTACTCAAAAAACACCCACTTAGACACTTCCCGCCATATCCATGGCATGGGCAGGCCCATCATAAACTGGAGGGTAAGTAGTTCGATTGAACGCTATTTTAAAGTTTCTTAATATTTGAGTCTAAATCTATAAATAAGCGGTAAAACGTTGAGATTAAAAAAAATAATATAATTCTTAAAAGTATGAGTGCTAATACAGAAGCTGGAAGAAATAGCTTTAAAATATGGAATATCAATTATTATTTTAGTAGGGAAAAATGTTTCAAATATAAGGATTTTGACGTACTAGTTTAAAGGTAGTGCCCATCAAGACTAAGATAATGGTGAACAGACTTAGGTTTTATGGGCACACAAGGAGTAGGCCTATGAACTATATTGAAAAATAAGGTTGAGAGTTTGGAAGTTATGGGGAAACGTAAAAGAGGAAGGCCAAAACTACGATGGGGCCAAAAATTAAGAGCCAATATGAAGAAGTATAAATTATATAAAAGAGAGAAAGATATTGAAGGAGCTTACCAAAGAAAAAAAGATGCCTGAAGATGTAAGGTCCAATCACATAGATGAATATTTTCTTTTAAGGGGAGGGGTGGAGGGTGGTTTAATACAGATATCATCTATTGATATAAATGCCTGGATCCAACTGGCAGCGCGATCTGCCAGTATCGAAATTGATTGAGACCTTTCAATTTATTTAAAAAACCATATGCGAACTATATTTTTTTGTAAAACTAATCCCAAAAAATTTGATTTAAATCATGATTTAGATTAATCATTCCATTGATGGAATACTATTTCCATTTCGACAAAAATTTTCTCTTCGGAAAGTCTTTTTCATTTAATCGATATAACCAGATACTCTCTATAATGTTAGATTAGCCAAATTTTACTAATCAGCCAATGCGGAGAAAACTTTTTTTTTA